CTTTCTTCACATGTTTTTCCTCAAAAAAAAAAATCGCCTTTCACCAAGTCCTAAGCAGACTACCCTATTCAAATACAATCTTCTCCCATCCTGCACTCCTGACCCCCCTTACTGCTGTTATTTATTTTTTTATTGAGATATAATTGATTTACAGTGTTTCAGGTATACAGCAAAGTGATTCAGTTATATATATATACATATGTATACATATATATGTACGTATATATTTCAGATTCTTTTCCATTATAGGTTATTACAAGATATTGAATATAGTTCCCTGTGCTATACAGTAGGTCCTTGTTGTTTATCTATTTTATATATTGTAGTGCATATCTAATCCCAAACACCTAATTTATCCCTCCCCCGCCTTTATTTATTATTTTTTCTTTTTTGCGGTACGCGGGCCTCTCATTGTTGTGGCCTCGAGAAAGAAACATTGTTGCAAACGTTGTGGAGCACAGGCTATGTCTGAATTGCAAAAAGCGGTAGCTCTCTTGATACCTTTTGAACGGAATGTTGCTGACAACAGGCAAAAGTGGAATTCAAGAGGGAATCTTATGCTAGGGAAAGAAACATTGTTGCAATAATTCAATTCTGTGTTTTGTTTTGTTTTGTTTTTGCAGTACGCGGGCCTCTCACTGTTGTGGCCTCTCCCATTGCGGAGCACAGCAGACGCGCAGGCTCCAGACACGCAGGCTCAGCGGACATGGCTCAAGGGCCCAGCCGCTCCGCGGCAGGTGGGATCTTCCCGGACCAGGGCATGAACCCGTATCCCCTGCATCGGCAGGCGGACTCTCAACCACTGCGCCACCAGGGAAGCCCCCCACCTTTATTTTTAATTTAATGCATACTTATCACCTCCCAGTACACAAATATAATGTAATTTATTGTCTTGTTTATTGTCTGTCTCCCTCTGCTAGAATAAAACTCCACAAGGGCAGGAAGTTTTGAATCTTTTGTTCCCGGCTGTATCCCCACTACCTATAATAGTGCCTGGCACCCAGTAGGCACTCAATAAATATTTGTTGAATGAATAGCTCCTGTTCTTCTGAGCTTTATTTGTGGCAAGTTTTCACCAAGTCTAATATTTCAAGATTGCAGTTTGCAGGTTCATGTTTGGTTGAGAGCATTGGTTCTGTTTTCCCTTAACACATTTTAAAGTTCACGGTTTTAGCTGTTGTCACTTTGTTCTGCAGTGATTATGTCTATCAGTAATAGTCATTGTGAATCCGGTAAGATATTTTGTTTTTATTTCCTGGGTAATCCAGGAGAAAAACTGTACGCAATCCCCTTAGACAGCCCAGAATTGTCTGGGATGGGCTTTGCTAAGCTGGGTTTTCAGTCAGCTTCTGGTCAACTTTGTGTAGTGTGTAAAATCTAAACTCCTTCCAACAAGGACCTGCTGTCTAGCACAGGAAACTGTATTCAGTATCTTGTCATAACGTATGATGGAAAAGAATCTGAAAATATATATAACTGAATCACTTTGCTGTACACCTGAAACTAACACAACATTGTAAATCAACTATACTTCAATTTTTAAAAAAAATCTAAACTCCTTCTAACCATGGCCCATGGGGCCCTACAGATCTGGCCCATGACCATCTCTATAACCTTGTCTCTAACCACTCTTTTGCTGGATGATTCCAGTGATTCTAGTAAGCACAGTATTCCAGCCACACTCACTTTCTGGCAGAATTTATCTCATCTGTTGGTTTCCATGCTTGTTTATCCTCTGTCTCACCCACAGCCTTGAGGTAAAGTCCATGAGGACAGAGACTGTCTTAGTTTGGGTCCTTCCAGAAGCTGACCCTGAGACAAAGATTGAAGTCAAGTAGTTTATCTAGGATGTGATTCCAGGAAGCACCTGCCAGGCAGTGGGGAAGTAAGGAAGTGAGACAAAGAAGGGAGGGCAGCCGATGAAGAGTGTTATTAAACGACTTAGTGCTGTGGGCAACTGGGACTTGTTCCCACTGCGGAGTTCTGGAGGCCAGTGGAGAACACACACCACGGGGATGTCCCATCTGAGGGGCAAGGGGGCAGGGGTACTTATCTACCAGCTCTCGTCAGTCATTGGCTGAGGGCTGCTGCCAGGAGGTGTTCATTTCCTGGCCCCTACAGCCTGCCAGGCCCAGAGGCAGAATGGCCTTATGCAGCTTGAGAGGAGCCCTCCAGCCAAGAGATGCAGACCCTGGCAGTTGGCAGTTGGTCAGTGCACGCCGGAGCAGTGAGGGAGCTGACAGTGTCTGCCACAGGGACTGTGACTGTCTTGTTCACTGGGCCTTGCACATAGTACGTGCTCTATTGGACTGAAAGATGAAGCTGGTTCGTACCTGTTATTTTGCCAGAGCAAAGCTGGGCCCCATACATCAGGGTTCAAATATCCTTGGGGCCAAACAGTATGGTGAAAACATTGAGTGTAAGGTCTCTGACCACTCACACTGGCCTCCACTCCCAACCTGGGAAATTTCCTGAGGACAGGGATCCTGGTATCTGTCATGCCTGGCACTCTGTCAGGGTTTGACACATAGTAGGCACTCAACTCCCACCCCTTCATCCCAATGTGGTCCTTAAAATGTCAGTCAGTCACCAGAATGGCTACAATGAAAAAGATGGGGAGTTCTGAGTGATGCTGAGGATTCACCACTGGGGAAGTGTAGATTGGAGAACTGGCATGATTTACAAAGCTGATCATATGTCTACTCCCATGATTTAGCAATTCCATTCTTAGGTATATGCCCAAGAGAAATGAGTGCATATATCCATCAAAAGATATATACAAGAATGTTCACAGAAGAATTATTCTTAATAGCCCCAAATAGAAAACTACCCAAATGCCCATCAACAGTGGAATAGATGAAGTGTGGTCTATTCATGGCAATGCAAGAGAACACAGCAGTGAGGATGGGCAAACTACTAGTTACATAACAACGTGGATCCATCTTGCAAACATCATGAGATTGAATGTTGTTAGAAGTCCAGAGAGTGATTACCCTTGGGGGAGGGGGGTGGACTTGAAGGGAGCTTCTGACGTTTGTTTCACATTCTCTTTCTTGACCTGGGTGCTGGTCACATGGGTGTGTCTAGTTTGTAAAAAGTAAATGAGCTCTGTAAACTTAATGGTGTGTACACTTTTCTGTGTGTACATTTTAATTTAATGATTTAAAAAGAGGTGGCCAGTGTGGCTGGGGCCCATGAAGGAGAGGAAAGGTTGCTGTCAGAAAGGGGGCAAGGACATGAATTTTAGGATTTGGTCTAAGTGCAGCTTCTTGTTTGACCAGAATGGAGGTTTCTTGAGAGCTTGAGAGCTTGATGAGGAGGCGGGGTGAGGGGGGGCAGAGGGGGCAATCAGAAATGCTCTTCCTCAGGGGCTGTAAGCCTGAAGGGCATTGATGGTAGGGAATGGCACCTATACCAGAGGTAACAATACCAATGTGTTGCAGCACATACTGTGCCAATCCCTGCTCTAAGTGAACAGATATACCCAAATACCTGCCCTCGTGGAGCTTACATCCTGGTGGGGGTTAGTGGGGGGACATATTCTCTGGGCCAAGGGTAGCTATGGCTGCAACAGGCTGAGGTTTATTATAGGGGTATTCCCCCCATATACTCAGGTACTTGGTGGCTGGGATAACATGCCCCTTTCACTTGCACAGTCCCCGTAACTGTCAGCTGGAGAGTGGAGAGTGCTCACTTTACACATTAGTACTCTCTGCTTTGGAGCTGCCCTCGAGTTGGGAGACTGGCTCCACAAGGAAGCATTCAGGGAGTGACACTGCTCACTTCCAGGAAGGTTCACCTGGATATCACTCCCACCTTAGCCTCATACAAGTGAACTAGGACTCCTCCTGACTCAGAAGCTAGGGTTAGGGGCATCACCTGTAGTGGTGGGTCCATCAGGCCAGATGTTCTTCCGGTAGCCAGTGACTGGGGGCTCCTGCCCTCTCCGACACCCCAGGCAGGGACATGCACAGGGATGGCAGCAATAAGCATGTGATATGGGGATCTCATAGTGTGAGCTGTGGAAGGGGGCCACAGGGGAGAGGGCAGAGACGCCAGGGGCACGAAGGGGAGCCCAGATGCCCAGACTTAACAGGGATCTAGGAGAGACTCCCTGGAAAGAAACAAAGAGCCAGAGCAAGTGTCCAACTCCATCTGCCAGATCCAGAGAGACGAAGACAGAGAGAGCCTGAGAATGAGCCCCTGATGCAAGGACATGGCCTATTCCCAGAGAAAAAGAATGGGGAATGGGGTGGGCAGTGGAGAGAGACTTCCTGCTCGAAAGAGAGACACAGAAAGACAGAGAGAGAGATAAGGGGGCAGGGAGAGAAACAGACACACATGCACACACACAGAGATGTGCATCTTGAGTTAGAGACCATCCAGATTGGGGCAGAGGGGAAGAGAGAGGCATCCAGACTCACCAAGACACAAGACAGAGGCAGAAACCCCAGAGCTGAGAGAAACAGAGAAGAAGGCAGGGAGGGAGACAAACACTCATCCTCAACAATAGAAAAGCCCTGCTCTGACCCACCACCCTCAATCCCTGGTCACCCTGGCCCTTCTTCCAACATAGGCGGTCCCAGTGTGTAAGCTTTTTTCTAAATACGGCTGCTGTCAATTTCTTCTCATATGCTACACCCTGATCCAGAGAAGGCCTGAGCCACCACATAAAAAGCCCAGGCTATTCTGCTGGAGAGAGAGGCCACATAGAAGACTCAAGTACCAAACATGGGAATACAGAAGTCATCTTGGATGTCCAGCCCAGTTGAGCCTCCAGATGATTCCAGCCCAAGCCACCCAAGACCCCAAGAAGGACCATCTAGTTGAGCCTGGACAACCACAGGACCATGAAAGGTAATAGTAAATTGTTGTTTTAAGCCACTGAGTTTTAGGGTGTTTGTCACATGGCAACAGATAACCAGAATACCCAGAAAAGGCTTTTAAAGCCTGACATCCCACTCCCACATCCCCCTTACAACAAAAGCAACACCAGCCAGTCACAGTTTCAGTCCCTTTAATTAGGTGCTCTGAAGAGAGGGCAGAATGGCAGACAAGGGGTGGAGAAGGTGGTGCTTCTTAAGCCCCTTTCAGTAACCGGTCAGTCCTCATCCTCTGGCAGCAGGATCTTGCTGGGGTCGAAGCAGTTGGAGTCCATGATGGGGAGGCCATTGGCCTCTCGGTATTTTACAAGCCTCTCAGCTTCCCGGCGGGCCCACTCCTGCATCCTGGAGGCAGCAGTGTGAGGGTAGACATGAGGGACCCTCAATGGACACCAATCCCCATCTTAGCTCCCCAAGGACAGGATTTCTGGCAGTCTCCTTCAGTCTCCACCCCTGCTTCTGCCCCGACCCATCCCACTCTCTTTGACACCCCATGCACCTGTAGTCAGGCAGATAAGCCACAAAGGTGCTGCCAAGGACCAAGATGATGGAGAAGCCAAAGAAAAAGACGACCCGCATGTTCCAGAGGTCCACAGCAGGGTCCCTGTCATAACCGTGGGAGTCTGGGTTCTATGGCAAAGAGAAGAAGAGGTCAATGAGGGCTTCCTGCTGCTCCACAAAGCCTTATGCTGGCGCTGCATAACCTGGTCTCCAATTTCACCTTGAACCAATCTCCCCTCCCTCCCTAAATTCCTCTCTATTCTTAGGACTTGTCAAACTCCTTCCCACCACAGGGTCTTTGCACCTGCTGTTCCCTCCACCTGGAAAGCCTTTCCCCCAGATCTAGCCATGGCTGGATCTGTCTCCTCATTCAAGGTTTTGGCTTCATCATCACTCCCCTTAGGAGGCACTCCCTAGTCACCTTATCTATTAAGTTGAACTATAGAAAATTGCCATTTTTACAGGTCAAAAATGGCTCAACCTATTAACTCCCTACCCCCAAGTCACTCTCCATCCTCTTACCTTGCTTAACTTTCTAGCATTTACTAGTTTACCAAAGTAGCATATCCTCCAAATCCTCTGATCACATCATCTTATATTATTGATTACATACTCTATATTACTGTTTTCTAACATTTTACATGTTTATTTTCAGTATTCTCCACTACCACGTAAGCTCTGTGAAAGCAGGGACTTTATCTGATTTCCATACTGCTGAATCCCTTAGCACCCTGAACTTAACCTGGCATTACAGCAGGCCCTCAATACATAGTTACAGAATGAATGAATAAATGAATAAGCATCCTATATATCACAGCCCCTCAACCAGAGATTAGTATTAATGAAGTACCTATTATATGCCAGGCCTTTTCACAAGCACAAACTGCACAATATCCCAGTGAAGTGGAAAGTGGCAAAAATAATTAACACCTTCTAATGGTGAGTACTTACTAAGTGCCACCTGCTGTTTTGAGCATTTTGATTCATTTAATTACACGAGGCAGGTGTACTGTAGTATTTTATTTTTTTTAGAAGGTGTCCTAACACTTTCCCCATCTTACATAGAAATTGAGGCACCAAGGGGTTTAGCTACTTGCCCAAGGTCACTGCCTGTATTCCAACTCAGGCGTTCTGATTTCAGTCTCTGATATCGGTATAACACAGCAGACCTGGCTCCACCACACATTCAGTTATGTGAGCTTGGACAAGTCACTTAACATCTTTATGCTTCAGTTTCCTCATCTGTAGAATGGGTACACTAATACTACCTACCTCGAAATAAGGTTGTTATGAGGATTAAATGAGTTAATATACGTAAAGTGTTTCAAACACCTGAGCAAGCACTATATCAGTGTTTAGAATTACTGTTGTTATATTGCTTCAAACGTGTTTTGAGCACTGTCCACTTCAGGGTTGATATCTGTCTGCAAAATAAGGCCAATCTCGCCTCTGGCCCTGAACCCGAAGGTGATCAGGGGACAAAGGAGGAAAACAAGCTAGGCAAAATTCCCAAATCTTCGAGGATTTCGCCAGCTGCGCAATCTTCAGCCGACTAAAAACATCCTCTACGGCGCCCCATCAGCTGGTCCCCGATTGACCCTTCCGGCGTCCCGTTTCCCCTCCCTCTCACCTTCTCGTAGAGGTTTTCGTCCTCGGGATCTGGGTCCTCCTGCCAGCGTAAAGTCGGTTCCGGCGGCCGCTTAACCGCCACAGCGGACGGGGCGATCACAGCCCTAGAGGAGCCGGATTCCCAGCGAACACGGGCAGCCGGGAGCCCTCGCCTCGCCGCCACCGCCAAAAGGCGGCGGCCGCACAAACCTAACATACCGGCCACCATGACAGATCGTTCTTCAGTTTATCGGGGGCGGGGAAGGAAATGTGACTGCGCAGCTGCAGCTGGCCCGAGCGCGAGAATTGTCGCTCCGCCCCTGCCGCAATAGGTCCCGAGTCGAGATTTTGTTTTCAAAAGGGCGAGGCGTCCTCTTTCCCATCTTCTTATCCTCTCGATCAGGCTATGGAATTTCTGACCGAAAGGCTGTGGAATTTCCTTGAAAATAAAGCGGTAGCACTCGTGTGAATTCCGCTCCCAACCAATCGCACGGAGAGCTCCCTTGCCCTCTGGCGAGAAGGGCGGAGCAGAGCTTCCGTTGCTCTTTCATCTTAGAAGGAAGCCAAACTTTCTTTTTTTTTTTATTGCGTTACGCGGGCCTCTCAATGTTGTGGCCTCTCCCGCTGAAGAGCACAGGCTCCGGACGCGCAGGCTCAGCGGCTATAGCTCACGGGCCCAGCCGCTCCGCAGCATGTGGGATCTTCGCGGACTGGGGCACGAACCCGCATCCCCTGCATCGGCAGGCGGACTCCCAACCACTGCGCCACCAGGGAAGCCCGGAAGCCAACCTTTCTTAAAAGCGCCTCGCCGGATTGGCCAATTGCTGCTCCTTTTCTCGACTTGTGGGAGTTCGCATGGGGAGCGGGGAGATGGCGTACACTTGCCAATCAGAGCAAGCCGGGGCTGGCCGACGGCGGACGGCGACCAATAGACTGGGCAGGCCAGAGCGCGCTCCCTTAGTAGGTGGATGGTGGTTGAAGCGCCGGCTCCCTTCTTGTCGTCGCCATTTTGTGCTGGTGATCGCGGCCGGCTGGGAGTAGGCGGCAGTGGGTTTCCAGGGGAGGGTAGCGCGCCTCGCGCTTCTCTCCTCCCTCCCATCTCCGCCCTTCCCCCCCTCCTCCGCCCTTCCGCCCCTAGCCTCGGACTTGGTAGCTGCGCGGACCGGCTCCGGCTGAGCTGTGAGAGTTGGAGGAGGTGGCGGCGGGCCGAGGTGATGTCCGAGAGCCCTCCCTTGACAGCCCGGGCCGAGAAGGTGAGCGTCGACGCTGGTCGTGGGGGCGGAGGTAAGGGGCCGGGGTGGGGTAGGGGATGCGTAGAGGAGGAGGGAGGGCGGACTGCGGGCGGCGGGTCTGGGCTTCGCGAAGAACCGATCGATGCTTGTACGGTCTGAGCCGGGGAGGGGGTGTCTTTTTGTTTTTTGTTTTTCTCCTTTAGAGAGCAGAGGCGCGTGCGCGATTGGGACACTGGATGGGTGCACGCGGGTTGGGGGAAGGGAGGGACGAATGGGAGTGGGCTACTGTGGCTCACTGTGTCTGCGACACCGAACTTTATCCGTGGGAGGCGGGTGTCTGCGACTTTGCTTTTTATTAATAGAAGTGTGCTCTCTGCAATCGTGTGTGACTTTGGTACTTACCTACCCATGGGGAAGTGTTTTGTGGCTCTGGTCCTTATTCTTGGGTGGGGGAGGAGGGAGAACGTCGGTATGACTCTGGTCTCTATCCTCGGAGTGTGTGTCTGTAATCCTGGTCCTTATCCATGGGGAGGGGTCCTTATCCATAGAAAGTCTTCTTACGATTGGCCCTAATCCACTTACTGGGTGGGGGCGGGGAGTGCAAGGAACGTGTGTAAGACTTATTTCCCCTTCTTTTTTGGGGGGGGTTCGTATCTGTTACTCTGACGCTCATCCTGTGAAAGGGGGCCTCAGTGTGTGATTATGGCCCGTGTTGATTGTGGGTTCCTGTCTGTGATTTTGGCCCGTAGTTATTCGGGGCTCGAGTCTGTGACTTTGGTCCCTATCTGTTGTGGATACCAGTGTATGACTCTGGCCCCTTTGCCAGATCTACTGAGGGTTTTGTCTCTGGCTCTCATCCACTGGGGCCCCTGGTTGTGATTCTCTTACCCATCTGGGAGCAGGTAACTCTGGTTCCCTGTGGCTTGAAGAGGAAGAGAAAATTGGTGTGAGTGTATACAAGGAGGAAAGGTGTGGTGGCAACCTAGTGTTGGGCAGGTGCTGTTAACGCCTGACTTTGCCTGATTCTTGTTTAGAGGGTGGGGCCTGAAGATTCTGGGATACTTCGTGGTGACCCCTGGCCCGGTCACATGGCTTTCAGGCCTTCCTTCGTTCTCACCGCAGCCCTGAGGGTTGCGGGAAGGGACTGCCCTTCCATCCCAGCAGAGTAACAGTGGTTCAAAACAGGCTCCGAAAGGGCTCCTTATTACCTCTGAATAACTTGGGCCCAGAGCCCTGGGGAGGGAGCCGCCTTGGGGAACCTGGCTGTGCATAAGAGACAGGGCTCAGGGTTGAGCCAGTTGCCCTGTGAGGGCCAAAACTGTGTTAGCCGGGAGCCTAGGGAGGCGGCAGCTGTCTCATTGTCAAGTTACCCTTCACCCCCTGAGCCTTTTGTGGTCTCCTGCTGTCTCATAGTGGGCAGCTAGCGTCTTCTGGGAGGATGAAATGGCACCTGAGGGCTCATGGAAGAAGCCTGGTGGGTGCCTGGGACTCCCGTTGTGAAGTCTCGCCTCCATGCCTAATGTGCCTGATCTCAGACAAGTCATCCAGCACTTAGAGCCCCCTGGGCAGGTAGCTCCGGGCTTGACTTGTCTACCAGTCTCAGGTGGCAAAGCCCTGATCACAGAATTGGTGGCACCACCGGGTCTCTGCAAGATGCTGTCTGCTGAAGGCCATGCTGTTTCTAGGGCAGCCGGCTCTAGCCTCACGTTTGTAGGGAAACGAAGCAGC